GTTAGTACTGAACAGGGGATTTGAAAGCTTTCCCCTCCTTTTTCAACTTTTTCCGCAAAGAGTATCTACTGATCGGGGTAAGATTGTGCCCCTACTTCCATCAGCCCCTCTTATGTTGGGTCCCACTTCTGGGCGGGGGATGATTGAGTGTTTTCTTTCTTCTGCCTTTTTTGCCCCTCCCCCCCCCCAAACCCCCCCCCAACCCCCCCCCCCCCCCCCACAACAACAACAAAACAACAAAAAACAAACAAAACACCAGGTCAGTGCCACTGGCTGAAGTGTCTTGAGGCCATTCCCAAAGGGTGGATATTAACATGTTCTTATTCACAGTAGATTTGTAAATGGGCTGATTTATCAGTCATGCTCATAGTGTGCCGGAACAACATAGGGGGAACTGCTGCTTTTTCTTTCCTCATCGCCATTTCACTCTACTTCTTTTGTATGTTTGTCACACTCTTGTGACCCGCTATTTCCGGGGTGCCTTGGTGATAGTCGAAGCACACTTTGTGCATTGAGGCTAGAGAGGTGAGCAGAGTAAGCCGGGTTCCCGGTTTGGACTTTTCTGTTGACATCCAATCCTTGGCGCTCATATGACCTTATCCACTAGCGAGCACCGTAAAACATTCTTAAAACACACACCTTTTCTCTAACTCGTTCTCCTTTTCTACTCCCTTTTTCTCTCTCTCTCCCTCTCTTCCTCAGCGGTATCGCCTACCAGGTCCTGATCCCAACAGTGTGGGGCATCATCGTGTTTGTCGGAGCTGTGGGGAACGTCATTGTCATCTTCACTATGTGCAAGCATGGAGGGAGCTCTATGCCAAGGTAAGAAACTGCTGGTCCATAGAATTAGACGGAGATACAAACAGTGCAAAGGTTAACTGTTGTGTGTTTGTGTGTATGTTTGTGCAAAGTGTTTGTTTGTTTTTGTGTTTATGTGTGTGTGTGTGTGTGTGTGTGTGTGTGTGTGTGTGTGTGTGTGTGTGAGAGAGAGAGAGAGAGAGAGAGAGAGAGAAGGAAAGAGAGTGAGTGAGAGAGAGATTGTAAGTGCGTGTGTGTGTGTGTGTGTGTGTGTGTGTGAGAGAGAGAGAGAGAGAGAGAGAGAGAGAGAGAGAGAGAGAGAGAAAGAAAGAGAGTGAGTGAGAGAGAGAGATTGTAAGTGCGTGTGTGTGTGTGTGTGTGTGTGTGTGTGTGTGTGTGTGTGTGTGTGCTTATGTCTGTGTGTGAATGCACGTGTAAGTGTGTGAGTATGTATATGTGTGTATGTGTGTTTTTGTGTATGTATGTATGTGCATGTATGTAAGTGTGTGTGTGTTTGTAAGTGTGTGTATGTGTGTGTGTGTGTGTGTGTGTGTGTGTGTGTGTGTGTGTGTGTGTGTGTGTGTGTGTGTGTGTGTATGCGCGTGTGAGCGACATATGTTCGTCACCTTTCAGAATGAGGTATTGCTCTTTCGGGATAGAATAATTATGAGATAGCATTATACTTGTAGGTTAAGATTCAATTAGTGTCTCTCGATTTATTTAATTGTAGTCTTTGTCACTGACAGATATTCACCTTCCGCCCGACCCCTCTCCACCCACACATATCATAATCAGTTTCATCAGTCTTTTTTTCTTTTTTGGTAAGTGTTATACAGCCCTCGCAAATGCATAAGGTCATTTGAGCACGCGGGACACATTGAAAATTTTTAGATAGTAGGTAATTTTGAATTTTGCCCGTGTGGCGGATTAAGCCTACCTTTATCGATTTTGGAACACCAATGGATTTTTAAAGGGCACAACTTGCACCCGGGACCGCCGAGACTTTTCGTCCTTTTCCGAGAAGGCAAGGTGTAAATGAGTCCTACCCTAAGGTCATGGATGTAGTTGAAAAACAGCAGTAAGAAGGAGCCAATGAGTCGCAGTAGAAAGGAGGCGGAAAGAATCAGGAGCCCAGAAAAGGAATCAAAGGTAGTGAGTGAGGGGGGCAGAAAGTGGAGACAAATGCAGACAACAGAACATGGTTAGAGAGTAGGAAAAGTGGTAAAAGGAGAACAATAAAAAGAAGAAAATTTTCCTTCACCATCCGGATTCGACACCGGGACGTTTTGAATGAGAGGCGAACACCTTACCCTCTAGACCACAGGAGCCCCCCGCATCATGATCAATGTCATCAGTCTGACACATGTCTCCTAAATGAAGTGTATAATACTCTAGAAAAATAATTCCAAGCCCTTTCTAAGATTTTAAATAACTGAAAAGAGTAGAAACGTGTGAATTATCATCCATGAAATCAGCGATGAAATCTCTATATCTCCTACTCCCCCATCCCCCTCTCTCTCTTTCTCCCTCTCCCTCTCTCTCTCTCTCTCTCTCTCTCTCTCTCTCTCTCTCTCTTTCTCTCTCTCTCTTTCTTTCTCTCTCTCTCTCACCCTCTCTCTCTGGCTCTCTCTCTTTCTCTCTCGCTCTTAATTTCTCTCTTACTATCTCTTTCTTTCTTTCTCTCTCTCTCATTCTCTCTCTCTTTATCTCTCTTTATCTCTCTATTAGCCCCTCTCTCTCTCTCTCTCTCTCTCTCTCTCTCTCTCTCTCTCTCTCTCACCGAGTCACTCTGTATGTCTGTCTATCTATCTATCTATCTATCTATCTATCCATCCATCTATCTATTTATCTATCTATCAATCTATCTATCTATCTATCTATCTATCTATCTATCTATCTATCTATCTATATATCTATCTATTTATCTATCTATCTATCTATCTATCTATCTATCTATCTATCTATCTATATATCTATCTATCTCCTTCTCTGCGTTACGCAATCTTCCTTTGACTCCCACAATGTTCACTCTTAAAGTTAATCACGATTAAATGCAAAAAAATGTTCCTCCATTTTTAAATAAAGATTGCTAAGATCTGAGACATAAATATTATATCTTAACGACTCTCGTTCTTATGTGGAATTTATCATTATTCTCTTATGTGCTGGTATATTTATGTGTGTGTGTGTGTGTGTGTGTGTGTGTATGTGTGTGTTTGTGTATGTATTTGTGTGTATGTGTGTGTGTTTGTGTATGTATGTATGTATGTATGTGTGTGTGTGTGTGTGTACGTGTGTGTGTGTGTGTGCGTGCGTGTGCGTGGACGATTTTACACTAGTTCTGATTCCAAATGTTTAATGTT